GAGGGCCGTAGGGAGCCAGGGAGGAAACTTTCATTTGCTAAATTAAGACAACATGTGAGGAAGTTACTCTGCTAACATGTTTTGCACCCCAGGGGACCTGACTTTTGGTGAGAAGCAGGAGACAGCTCCTTTGCTAATTGCTACATCTCTTCAATAAACAGAGCCCCAAGGCCCTGGCGGGGAAAATATTGCCATTTTTGGAAACGCTTGTCAGAGGTAAGCAAAACAGCTCCGTAGCCATAGCTGCTGTCTAGGAACACGGGATAAACGCTGAGGCAAGCTGAGGGAGCGGGAAGAAGTGGTGACGTATTGGCTTGAGCCAGCCAATACTTTGCTTTTTAAAAAAGTTTCCCCATCATATTACACACAAAACTGGCAAGTATTTCTGGCACGGGGCCTTGTGGTCCAGCCGCCACACGCCCACAAATATCTCATCACGTAATCAACAGCCAGGATGTCTGGTGAGCTGTTTAGGCACAAAACCGAAGCAAACACCTCAGATCGCTGTGACAAGAATTATGAGGGGTCCTGGGTTTCCCGGTTAACCCTTTCTACTTATCGCCGAAGAATTGATGCTTTTGAATTCTGGTGCTGGAGGAGACTCTTGAGAGTCCCATGGACTGCAAGAAGATCAAACCTCTCCATTCTGAAGGAAATCAGCCCTGAGTGCTCACTGGAAGGACAGATCCTGAAGCTGAGGCTCCAGTACTTTGGCCACCTCATGAGAAAAGAAGACTCCCTGGAAAAGAGCCTGATGTTGGGAAAGATGGAGGGCACAAGGAGAAGGGGAGGACAGAGGACGAGATGGTTGGACAGTGTTCTTGAGGCTACCAGCATGAGTTTGATCAAGCTGCGGGAGGCGGTGGAGGACAGGGGTGCCTGGCGTGCTCTGGTCCATGGGGTCACGAAGAGTCAGACACGACTAAACGACTAAACAACAACAACAACAACTGACATAGTTTCTCCCATAGAAAGTGGCACTTGTTGTTTAGTGTGAGTGTTGAGAATTATCTACTAGAGTCGCAGACCTGGAGTGCTCTGGTCCATGGGGTCATGAAGAGTAGCACACAACTAAACGACTAAACAATAACCACAACTTATTTTCATGCCAACCACACCACCCCTAAGCTACACAACAGAGATGGGTAGTTTTTGACAACCACACTCCTATGTTGGTGGACTGCAACTTCTGTCATCCATGCCCTGCACGAGCAATGGTCAGGAACAATGGGCTTTGGAGTCCAAGGACACCTGGGAGGGTCACAGGTTAGTCAACCTCTCAGCTACGCAAAGGCGGCTCATCTTCTGTGGAAAAGGCATTTGCTCATTATATGCAGACATCACAGCGAAGGTTCAAGTTACGAGATTCCAACCACCTGCATTGTGTGACCTAGTTGAGATTCCTGTATTTCAGGGGGTTGGACTAGGAATGACCCTCCAACGCTACGATTCGATGACTCTATACAGCCGTACCTTGGAAGTCGAACAGAATCCATTCCAGAAGTCTGTTCGACTTCAAAAATGTTTGAAAACCAAAGCGTGGCTTACGATTGGCTGCAGGAAGCTCCTGCAGCCAATCGGAAACCACGGAAGCCCTGCTGGACATTCAGCTTCCCAAAATAGTTTGTAAACCAGAACAGTCACAGAACAGGGTTTGTAATGCTCGGGAGCCAAAACGTTCGGGAACTAAGCTTTTGGATTTCCAAAGTACGACTATACCTGTGACTGAGCAGCAACACATTAGACTACAGGTTAGACTACAGGCTACAAGATTTGATCATCTTCTATATACAAATCATCATCATCCCTATACAGTGGAACCTAGGGTTAAGTACTCAATTCGTTCCGGAGGTCTGTTCTTAACCTGAAGCACCACTTTAGCTAATGGGGCCTCCCACTGCTGCTGCACCACCAGAGCACAATTTCTGTTCTCTCTCTTTTTTAAAAGATATTTATTAGAATTTTACAAAATGAAAAAAGAAAAAAGAAAAATACAAAATAAAAATAGTTTTAAAAAAAACAATTCCATCTTTCCATCATTTATCTTTCATTTGCTTGTTTCCCGGACCTCCTCACACCTCCCTTTTTGTATTCCCGTTCAATTTGTTAGTTCAGCAAATCCTTCCCCTCTTTGTTTATCCTAATCTTTAATCTTAAAATATTGCAACATTAAATTTTTGTCTGTTAATAGTCCATTTTTTCATACTCCTTATAGCGTTATAGCTAAAAACCACATAACTTTTCATCCAACATCATTTTAACATTCATTAATTGCACAATTTCTGTTCTCATCCTGAAGCAAAGTTCTTAACCCGAGGTAATATTTCTGGGTTAGCGGAGTCTGTAACCTGAAGCGTATGTAACCTGAAGCATATGTAACCCGAGGTACCACTGTAAATAAATAAATAAATAAATAAATAAATAAATAATATTTTCTTTATATCCCACCCATTTGGTTGGGTTTCCTCAGCCGCTCTGAGGAACTGGGCTATTCCCAGCCTAGTTCTTCGCCAGGGGGCATGCATACTGGGGAGTTTGCTTTGGAAGTAAGCCACTGGAGGCTTACTGTCATTTCGTAATATTTGCATTTATTTATGAAGGTTGAACTCAACGACTCACAATTTGCTGCCCTTTTGTGACACCCCAAACCAGCTGCGTCATTTGGCCTAGCGGCCCTGTTGCAGAGGATTCTGGGTTGTGTTCTAGTGCTCCAATCTCAGTTCATCTGGGGTCATTGTCCAGACTTGTTGGGGCTCACTTCCAGGACAGAAGAATGCACCGCAGAACACACCCAACAACGCTGTCCTGCAGGTGTGCGGTGGAGGAGAAAATCAGTAGTGATCGCAAGCTGCACTGGGGAGAAGTTTTGCCTGCCATTACTGATCTTCTCAATGACCGGAAAATTGCGTAGGAAAACAGTTCCTGCCAGTGAAAGGCACTGAATGGCCTTTGGAATGCACAAGCTCCTTCCAAAACTTACCGTATTTTTCGCTCTATAAGATGCACCAGACCACAAGACGCACCTAGTTTTTGGAGGAGGAAAACAAGAAAAAAAAATATCCTGAATCTCAGAAGCCAGAACAGCAAGAGGGATCGCTGCGCAGTGAAAGCAGCAATCCCTCTTGCTGTTCTGGCTTCTGGGATAGCTGTGCAGCCTGCATTCGCTCCATAAGACGCACACACATTTCCCCTTACTTTTGAGGAGGGAAAAAGTGAGTCTTATAAAGCAAAAAATACGGTAGTTTATTGCTCTGGTGATTCAAAATGAATTAATGCATTCAAATGGACATTTGGTGTCATTTTTTTTTTAATGTCTCCATTAGCGAGAACCGCTTGCTAAGTGATCTTCAAACTGCGTGTTCGTGGAAATACGTTTAGATGGCATGGAATGGATCAACGCCACTTATTTGCTCCAGGGCAAGACACAGATGGAGCTGGTTAATTCAGCAGCTTGTGATTACTCTTGCAACTTTTGGTGGGCAGACATCTGGTGGTTCCCTCTTTGCCTCCAGCGAGCTACTCCGATGCATCATCAGTTGATTAAAAATGTCCTGGGAGCATATTCAAAAAAAAGCTTTTGCTTCTTTTCCAAAGAGCCAGCAAGCTTTGCTGTTTGGGAGTTAACGGCCACAAAAAACATTCTTCAGATACTCCAAGAGGATCCCACTGTTAATTGGGCTTTCATTATTTTAAAACAAGACATTCTTCAGATTGCTTTGACATCTCTGTCCAACGGTCTCTGCACCCCTCCCACTACCACGTCTTTTCCTTGGTGCTTCTAGAAGAGGAATTGCAACTGACCCATTGTGTTTTTCCTGTGTGTTCAATCGCACTGCTGTACGCTCCATTCGCTGCCATGGGTGTGACATTTGAAATGTGAACATTCCATGTCGTCATATAAACTTATCCAGCTTATCTCAGCAAATAAGCACATAGTTCCAGAACTCCCAGACCATTACTGCATGATCTGCTTCTTTGTTTTGTTTTGTTCACTTTCTTTTAGGTAGTATTTTAATCTTATTTTGTACTTGGTTCATTTTACGATAACAATTCCTAGCCCCAGCAGATCTGCGTGGGCCCCCTCCTGATGGCATTCCGATGCCACTTAAAATATTTTTTGTTCCAGCACAGCTTTGGCTCAACTGGTATTTTGATGTACAGTGTTACCTTGGTTCTCAAACGCCTTGGTACTCAAACAACTTGGAACTCAAACACTGTAAACCCGGAAGTGTTCCGGTTTGCGAACTTTTTTTGGAAGCCGAACATGCTCCATTTTGAGTTACTCTTCCGTTTTGAGCGCCACATTTCCATTTTGAGTGTTACGCTGAGGTCTGTCTGATTTTGCTATTTATTTTGCGTTTTTGTGGCTCTTTTTGTTTTGTTTTTGTGACTGTGGAACCCAGTTCAGCTATTGATTGATTGATTGTGTGTGTGACTGCAGTACCTTGTTTGCTGCTTTCATTTTATGGATCAATGGTCTTGTTAGATCGTAAAATTCATGTTCAACTGCTGTTTTAGAGGTTGTTTTTAAAGGTCTGGAGTGGATTAATTCATTTTGCATTACTTTCTATGGGAAAGCGCGCCTTGGTTTTGGAACGCTTTGGTTTTGGAATGGACTTCCGGAATGGATTAAGTTTGAGAACCAAGGTACCACTGTACTTTGGATTCCCTTTCTCTCTTGTTGTTTATCTGCTGCTCAACTTTTTGTTTCTTAATTGTTTTAATAATATGTTTTGTTTTTTATATATATTGTGAATACAGGAGTGCCTGGCGTGGTCTGGTCCATGGGGTCATGAAGAGTTGGACACGACTAAACAACAATAACAACATATTTATTGATGTTAAGCTATCTTGGGCATTGCAATTTGAAATGGAACAGTGGTTATAAACGCTTGAAATAAATGAATAGATAGGGAGCTCAGGCAAGATCTAGCCGACACCCAAGAACTGCAAGTTCAAGTAGGGGAAGGTACATGGTATAATCTTGGGTTTTGCCTCACCTCCTGGGAACACCAAGCACATTGCGGGTTCACTGCCAAGCACTGCTGACATGAGTTTACTCCTCGTGTAGTACAGATGTCATCGTCACCTGAAGAAGAAAAGGCAGACAAGAATTGGACCACAGTTTCAAACAGCATTTTCATGGGTCATGGGTGGTAAGAAAACTACATATGACCAGCCCACGCTTATGGATCTACAAGGGGAGCCCTGCTAATAGCTCCATTTTATCCACCGCTTGCAGCACAGTGACTTATAGCAGGGCCTTCTTTGTCATGGCTCCCCAACTGTGGAATTCCCTCCCAGTGGAGATATGTAGACCTGTCTTGTTGATGTCTTTTTTCAGCATCTACTGAATAGGGCAGGGCAATGTATCGATACATCTTCCAGGACCAAATGATGCTCCTTCCTTTTCAACATAGCAGTGTATCACTATATCATGATGTTTAGCGAGTGACACATCGCAATGTCAAAAAGCTGATATCACCCAGCTGTACTACTTAAGACTTCTCTTTGGCCTGGTCTTTGTGGGCTCATAATACGATCCATTTATTGCTGTATCATCACATGTTATGCCATTGGTGGTTCCTTATATACCAGTTGTACTTCTATTGTTGGTATTTTATCAGAAACTGCAAACGCACACAACGCGGAAACTTCAGTTAATAATAATAATAATAAATATTATACCCCACCCTCCCCAGCCAGAGCCAAGCTCAGGGCGGCTAACACAAGTAAAATTACAATAAAAACATAATGGGGGGACCCCAATTTAAAATACAGGTTAAAATACAATTTAAAATGCAGCCTCATTTTTAAAGTAGAACAAAGATCAAAACCATAAGGGGAGGGAGGGAAACATAAGGGTCAGACTGAGTCCAAACCAAAGGCCAGGCGGAACAGCTCTGTCTTGCAGGAAAGATGTCAAGTCCTGCAGGGCCCTGGTCTCTTGAGACAGAGCGTTCCACCAAGATGGGGCCAGTACTGAAAAAGCCCTGGCCCTAGTTGAGACCAATCTAACCACCTTGCGACCTCCAAAGTGTTGTCATTTGTGGACCCTAAGGTCCTCCGCGGGGCATACCAGGAAAGGCGGTACCGTAGGTATGTGGGTCCTATGCCACATAGGGTTGAAGGGTGATCTAGAAATCTGACAAATAAATGAATACTGGAAGTTGAATACAAGAAGCTGACAAAAATATGAACTTCTCTCTAATATCTACAGCAAATAACATGAATATTTTAATGGAGAGGGAAGACTTAACCTTCAGATAGATTCCTAAACTGGATATGCTAATCTGAAACCAGGTTTCAAAAATCAGTATTCAAAAATGTGATACCTGAACAAATTTCCACTTTCAATTTCAACCTCAGGGTGGGGGGAAGAGTTCAAACACTAATAAATCTTGAACTTCAGCCAAAAAGAGTACCAAATATAACATTTCTCTGTCCTCAAAGGACCGCACTTTTCACACTCCAGTCCCCATGTGTTAATTTCTGATTTTATTTTTAAAGTCCAGATTTTGAACTGAGGCAAAATTTTAAGGTCTCACCATTTCTCTCTCCCCCCCCCCCAGTCACTACACCCCTCCCTGTGCTCCTTGAAATTTTACAAGACTAATCTAGAAACATACCTAGGAGATTTTATCTTCCAGGGAATGCACTAAATACTGCTTGCGGAAGGTTTTCACAGGAGGATTCCAGCATAACTGGAGCTATGCATTCCTTGGGGAATTATCAGCAATATCTGAACAGCAGCACAGAAAGAAAACCAGTGTATTAACATAGCCAAACTCCCCTTGTCTTAGCGATGCCCTTCGCTTGTAAAGACGACAGCAATTCCGAACTGCTCAATGCCTTACGTAGCAGGAAACCTGTGTTGTACAGTTATTAAGTGCTACTCCAAAATGTGATACTGTGCCTATGTCATCCACACGTCTCAAAAGTTGGGGAAACTTTAATATAGACACTCAAGGGCTTGTCCCACACTTGTCCCGAGATTCCCAGGCACAGGTCAGAGGTTTTTCTTTTGTCCTGCTGCTTTCCCCAGGACTCTGCTTTAATTTGGCCCACATCAGTGAGGATGAGAGGGGCATCTTGTCATCTGGGCAGCCAAGATCTCCTTACACGCTGTCCAGTCTTGCGCCCTTTGAGAGGCTACTTCAGTGCTGCTAAAGCAGCAGTTTGATTTCACCCCCAGGTGTACACTCCCTTTGTATTTTGAGACGGATGCCAACAACAACAACTGCTGAATTGCCGCCGTGACCACATAACACCGCTCCTGAAAGACCTACATTGACTCCCAGTACGTTTCCGAACACAATTCAAAGTGTTTCTGCTGATCTTTAAAGCCCTAAACGGCCTCGGCCCTATATACCTGAAGGAGTGTCTCCACCCCCATCATCCAGCCTTGTCCAGCTCCGAGCGCCTTCTGGCAGTTCCCTCACTGTAAGAAGTAAGGTTACAGGGAACCAGGCAGAGGGCCTTCTCGGTAGCGGCACCCACCCCATGGAACACCCTCCCATCAGATGTCAAGGAAATAAACAGCTATCTGACTTTTAGAAGACATCTGAAGGCAGCCCTGTTTAGGGAAGTTTTTAACGTTTGATGTTTTATTCTGTTTTTAATCTATTGGGAGCTGCCCAGAGTGGCTGGGCGGAGTATAAATAATAAATTATTATTGTATTATCATAAGCTAATATATGAGATAGACTCATGACATGCAAAGCAAGATATGTCAAGCCTTTATTTGTTATAATTGCAATGATTATGGCGTACAGCTGATGAAAACCCCAAATTAACAATCTCAGAAAATTAGAATATTAAATGAAATCAGCAAAAGAAGGACTGCAAATAGAGCAATATTGGACCTCTGAGAAGTAGAAGCATGCATATGTACTCAGTACTTGGTACTTGCAGAATGTAGGCACCCTATATCTAGATATGAGCAAAGCAGTGATATAGTATTTCAGGGAGCAGGCGGGGCCCATTACTTACACCAAAGGAGCCTACACAACACAAAACACTGTTGCTGTATGTAGGTTTTATTTTATTTGCTTTTTATCTTATATTTTGGAAATGTACATCCAGTTTTTTCCCTTTAAATTTTTTGGGGGCCCCCAAGAGAGTGGGGCCCTGAGCTATAGCTTGTTTAGCTCATACGTAAATCCGGCACTGCTCTCATTGTACAGTTGTGGGGTGGAATGCGAGTCCACTGGCAGGGATTTGAACCCAGGGCTCCCACATCACCACAGACTCACTGTAGGCGAGTGGGCCCTGCTACCTAGAATGATTAGGACAACTGGCCTCTTTTAAGGGAGAGGTGGGGCAGACAGCACTCCGGAGTCTCCACTAGCCCCTTGTTTATCTCTATAATTGCTTTTCTTCCTTTGTTCATGCACAAACACCCCCTCCTCTAATAACCACCTTGGACTGCTGACTCACAGGCTGTGGCTTCTGCAGCTCCCAGAGGCTGGAGATTACGCAGCTTCCTCAGAAACTGTTGATTAACAGCCCAGAGTTATTATTAACTCCACATTGGCTTGTCTATGGAAGACTGCCACCCCGCTATGTTTCTTTCTTACTGCGTCTGTGGGCTTGCATAAAGATTTCTCACCAGTGTCTGCTAAGTTTCTCTCTCCCCGTCTCCAGTTTAGGAGCTGACAAATCCGAATGTATGAATAAGTTCTCTTTTGCCTTATCAGGAAACACAAAGAACTGGTGGTGGTGGTTGTTTAAAATGACAAACAAAATGTGGGTGTAATACGGGCCATACAGATACAGAAGCAAAAACAGGAGACAAAGAGGGAATGTGGGGATGGGGGACAGAGAGATAGCGCTGAAGAGGCTTTCACAAGTTCTCTCTTTCTCCAAAACCACAAGGATTATAAACTCGTGGGCATAATTCACATCCCACGGACGTCAAGGTTGGAAACCTTGTCCATTTATTTTAACGAAGCTAGGTTGAGGCTACTCTGGCTGCACACAAGAGTCACAGAAGTGTCGTTCTCCCCATGAAACGCTAAGCTGCAGTTTCAATAGCACCACCAACCTTCGCAAAGTTTAGAAACTTGGGGGGGAAGAAAAGGAAAGCTGGGAGTCTCCACAGATCCAGCTTCCACAACAGGGAGTTCTGTATGTTCTCAGGGACTGGAGATCTCGAATGCAAGCAGCCAGGGCCGGCCCGAGACACCTGAGGCGAACCCCAAAATGGGCACCTAACCATATCCACCGGGGAAAGAGGAGCGAATGAAGACTGACACCAGGAACAAGGGAGAGGGGGAGAAAGATGGATATTAGGATCTGTTTGGGGACCCTGCCGCCTGAGGCAGTCTCCTCACCTGGCCTCATGGTTGGGCCGGGCCTGCAAGCTGCTCTACTTATTGCTAGTGTTTGAGGAGCAGCGTGACGGAAATATTTGACAAATAAGGGCAACTTCACATTCCCCTAGCCATTGCATTTAAGGTCCTCACTGCGGTAAGAGATCAGGCTAAACCCAGATAGATCCTCTTGCTGCCTTTTCCACAGTCAAAGGACATTTCCAGTCACCTGGTGATAGTGGAAACCCAGAGGAATCATGGCTTTCTGAATCATACCACACCCATTGAGCAGCCCACGTGAAGAACCATCACCAAATCAAGGTTTCTGAGTAACAGACTGTGATGTGCTGATCATTCATATGTCTGGCTCGTGAGGTGTGACTGGCACCAAGTGATGTGAAGCACATTCTCCACCCTTCTTATTCCATGCTTTCTGTCTTTCCAAAAGCTCGGTGTTTCATGTTCTCCCGCTTTGCACCTTTGGCCATACCAAGTCCTGGAATTAGATCTTGTCTTCGCTCCATTGAGCCACCTCTCCTCAACAACAAGAGGAATCTTCCCTGCCCTGCCTTCCTTGATGTTCCTCCGGTGTCACACGACAACCCCCAACTCTTAACAACACTGCTAAGAGCTTGCCAAAACACACACACCCAACAACCCTCTCTTCCAGTCCTGCCCATCCAAAATAGACTGCAAGCCCTCTGAGGGCTGAGACTGAATACTTTTCTATGTTTTGTATCATGCTGATGCTAAACAGATTTTAAAAATAAATAAA